AGCCACCGCGTGTCGCCGTAGCTACCAACGCCAAATTTTCTGCTAAGCTCTCTTATTTCTCTCTTCTTTTACTTTTTATGGCCGACTCTTTTAAGTCAATTGGTACTAGATGTCTACGCTTGAGGTGTACCTATTGTCATAAGAATGGTCATACTAAAGGATGTTGTTATAGTCTTCATGGACGCCCGTCTCGTACGACAAAATACATTTGTTGCTAATTTCATTGAATGTTCATCCCTTAACTCCATTACTATAAGTCGTGCCGATTATGATAGTGACAATCGACTTCAATGTGTTTGGTCCACTCATGGAAAACTGAAGTAGAGGGGATGGTGTGAAAGGGGTGACCTCGTGGAACGTGACATCTACAGACATAATATATTTTCCAAGGCTTGGACAAAAACACATGCATCCTTTCTTAACGCAAGAGTAACCTAGGAAGATACATTTTTAATGATTTTGGGTCAAGTTTAGTAACATGTTGACGTGTATCTCTAACAAACATGTACAACCAAATATTTTTGGAGGCAATGGATAATCAGGTTTATTAGGAAAGAGAATATGAGAGGGTGACTGACCATTAAGAACAGAGGACGGCATCCGATTAATGAGGAAGCAAGCGGTGGAGACGGCATCAGCCCAAAAATGTTTAGAGACACTCATGTGAAATAGAAAAACTTTGGTCGTTCAAGTAAGTGTATTTTTTCTTTCGGCAACACCATTCTAGGCTGGAGTGTCAACACACGACGAAGTCTGGTGAATAATACAATTCATAAAGAACTTGAATGAATCAGACAAATATTATTTAGCATTGTCACTCTCTAGGATTTTAACTTGGAGACCAAAGTGGGTGTGAATTTCAGCACAAAAAATTTGAAAATGTGAAAACAACTCTGACCGATGACGCATGAAGAAAATCCAAGTCATTAAAGAGTAATCGTCAACAAATGTAACACAATATTTAAACCCTTGTTTAAAAGACACGGGACATGGACCCCAAACATCCAAATGAAGACAATCGAAAGGGGCTGGGACACATTGTTCTCTTTAAGACTCAAACTGACACGATGATGTTTAGCAAACTGACATGATTCACAATTGAACTAAGATAAATTTCTAAAACTGGGACACATTACTTTCATCTTCTTAAGGGAAGGGTGACCTAACCGACAATGAGCTTCAAAGGAGGTTCACCTACATATGTAGATGATGGGCTTACGGATTAAAGTGTCAAGGTTATACAATCTGCCTGACTCATAACCCTTGCCAATCATCCTCTTCGTCTCCAAATCCTAGAAAACACAATAACCAGGAAATAAATGTCACACTACAAGTTAAGGCACGAGTGATCTTACTAACAAAGCTTAAATTAAACAAAAAGTGAGGTAGGTTCAAAACAGTGGATAACGAATTAGTTGGTGTAATATCCACAGTTCCTGACCTAACCACTTGGGTAGTGGATATCAAATTAGTAGGTGTAATAATTTTCATTCAATGGTTCAAAATCAATTTGAGGTCAAAATAAAAAGCTTTAGGACAAACAATGCTAGAGATTATTTCAATAAGATTCTATCAACTTACTTTCAATCATAGAGGATTATCCATGATTCATTATGTGTGGACACACGCCAACAAAATGGGGTAGCTGAAAGAAAAAATGGGGTAGATGAAAGAAAAAATGGGCATTTACTCAACACCACCCGAGCCTTACTGTTTCAAAGAAATGTTCCTTAGTCCTATTGGGGAGAAGTCGTTCTAACTGCCAAATATATGATAAATAGACTCCTCTCCTATGTGTTAGGAAACAAAAGCCCTGTAGAGGTCTTTCATAGCTTCTACCCTCACTTCAAAACCTCAAATGGCCTCACTCCTATGGTATTAGGGTGTACTGCCTTTGTTTATGTCCACAAACAACATAGAGGGAAGCTAGACCCTAGAGCTATCAAATGTGTATTTCTCGGTTACTCATCCACTCAAAAGGGATACAAGTGTTACAATCCCTTGACCAAAAATTTTACATCTCTGAATATGTCACTTTCACATAAATAAACCTTTTCTTTTCCCAAGTCCTCTCTTCATGGGCAGATTCCGATGATGGAAGATAGTACTTGAGTACTTGTGAGTCCTTCGAACCACTTAGAACCCTTGACCTTCCGCATGTGCCAGCCCGTGTTGTTGAACCTGAATCCTCAAGATCCTTAGAGCCAACTTTCCTCATGTTCTCTCTAAACCCGAGTCCTCTGAACCAGACACATCTGAGTCACCTGACCCTGTCGCTAAACCCATATCATCTCCTTCTCCAACCAGCATCACTTACAATTTCCCAAAATTTCCTCAGGTGTATTCATTCAAGCTGAAAGATTGTTCCTCAACTGACACAAGTCCAAGAATCCAATCCAAATCCTGATAATAAAATCAAGGTAAAATCAGGCCCACCTTTACACACAATCTATTGAACAATCCACTAATTCAACAACTGTTCTGGATGTTCCCATTGTTGTTACAAAAGAACCAGAAAATGCACTAAACGACCACTATATCGACTATCTCACTATGGATCTTCTGAACGCCTATCGCCAGCCCAAAAGGGATTCATTGTGAGTTTGAACACTATTGCCATTCCTAACAATGTGTCTGAGGCATTGTCAAAAAAAGAATGGAGAAATGCTACGAGAGAAGATGAATGCATTAGAAATGAATAAAACATGGAGATCGTTGATAAAACGAAGGAAAAAAACATTGTTGATTGCAAGTGGATTTTTACATTAAAATACAAGGCTGATGAATCCCTTGAAAGATATAAAGCAAGGGTAGTAGCCAAATGATACACTCAAACTTATGGGGTGGATTATGAGGAAACATTTGCTCGAGTTGCAAAAATAAACATGGTGAGAATTATGTTATCATTGGCTGCTCACTTTAATTGGAAACTGCTATAGCGTGATGTTAAAAATGCATTCCTCCATGGTGACTTAAATTAGAAAAAAATCTACACAAACATCCTAGAGCATGGTTTGGCAGATTTGCAGAAGTCATGAAGGAATCTGAGTACAAACAAAGCCAAGGTGACCACACTCTTTTCATTAAGCATTCAACTATAGTGGGAGTGACTGCTCTTTTAGTCTATGTGAACGACACCATAGTAGCTGGAAATGATAAGAATCTAGTAACTTAGGGGAGCAAGAAGCAGAATGTAGTGCCAAGGTCATCTGCAGAATCAGAATTTAGGACAACTACGCAAGAATTATGCAAATTACTTTGGCTGAGGATCATTTTGGATGATTTGAAAGTCAAATGGGAAGGTCCTATGAAGCTCTACTGTGACAATAAGTCAGTTATTAATATAGCTCATAATCCTATACAACATGATATGTCAAAGCATATTGAAATTGATAGACGTCTCATCAAAGAAAAACTGGAGCAAAGGTTAGCATGTATGTCCTATATTCCATCAGAGAGACAATTAGCCGTTGTTCTAACAAAGAGGCTGTTCGAGTTTCCATGATATTGTATCCAAGCTGGAATGGAAGACATCTATTCCTCCACATGAGGGGGAGTGTCAAAGAGTAGTTGAGCTGTAAATAGCTCTGTAAATATGTTAGAAGGATCAATTTGTAATTCCTTACATTGAAAGAATTAGTCAATCCCGTAATTGAGGAAATTAGTTAGATTTTTTCTTGTTTTTTCTCCTTGTAATCTTTTATTTAAGACCGTGTATTATCAATTCAAATCAATGTGGAAATACATAATCTTTTTTTTTTCTCATCTCTAATTTTCCACATAATGCAAATATTTTTTTAGTGAAGAAGACGGGAGTATATTTTGCTTAGGGTTAGGACACGGACCCGCTCTAATGCCAGGTCAAAAAGAAGGAACAAAAAAAAAAAGGCATCTTCTATATCAATTTACAATTAATAGAGTAGGACACTTATAACTATTATTAACACATCTAAAATGACGGAAAAAATAAAGAACCTAGTCTAGGTACAATAAATCAAATATTTTATTTTAATATACATATATTCTATGTACTACTATAGTATATCTGACAGCCTCAAACCTGGAGTTTCATAAATGAACCGAACATATTGAAGTACATTGTCATTTCATAAAAGAGAAGATGTTATTTGGATGTATAGGCACCGAATATGTGTCTTCAAATGATCAACTTACAGACAAATTAACAGCAGCCCTTAGAGGTTTCAGATTCGAGCTCATATGCAACAAGCTCGGATAGTATAACCTACACTGTAGCTTGAAGTGTTAGATTAGTCCCCCTTTGATTGACTCTAGTTAGGATTATTAAGGTTGGATAGTTAGATTTTGTTTGTTAGATACACTCCTAACTATTCATATATGCATATACTAACCTTTATTTTTGCGTGAAAAAATATACCATTTTCTAAATTTCTACAAGGGTAAACAATTTATACAAGTAAACACAAACAACAACAAATATCAGCTCAAAATCATATCAAATTCAAGAATGTCACGATTATAAAATTCAGATCTGATAATTTTATACGAGATAATCAAATCATTCATTCTAAATTTAAGATTCATATCCTGGTTGTAAGCTATGCCAACCAAGTTTCATACTTTGTTGACCTTATTTTTTACTCTTTTAGTACTTTCATTTTTGCCTGCTAATTAAATTATTCATCCTTGGGATAATAGATGATCATCAGTTCTATAACAAGGTTTTGAAAAAGCTTTCAAAGATTTAGAAGATGCTAAATGTCTTATGAGAACAAGGCAATGCAAACAAAATAGAGGAGAAGAAATGTAATGTATGACCAAGCGGTGGAAGCCTAAATTCAGCATGTGATTGCGCAAGACAAGCTAACAAAGGAATTTGGTTTAAAGTGTGCCATATTATCTTAATTTCAGCATGGAAATCACTAAAAGAAGGAAAAAAAATATTATTCCAACGAAAATTTTTAGAACTTCCATAGTTAGCTTTTTAGTGATTAAAATTTAAAGCGACTTCTGCTTTTGACCTGTCATTGTTGTTTCCAAAACCTTCAACCTCATGAGAAGCAGATAACTCTCCAGGAACCTGTAGATTTCCTTGCATCAAAATGAAACCATCCTGTCATTTAATAGAGCCACCACACCACACAAAAAAAATGAAAATGAATTACCTGTACACACATACTGGAAAAATCATCTTGTTCACTGGTTTCATATTCTTCACTCTGAAGACGCTTCTTGTAGATGCATATAGCAAGCTGATAAGAAAAAAAGAAGAAAAAAAAGTCATAAATGGTCCAATTAGATTGAACCCAAGTAAATTACATAATTATGAAATAAATATATATAGATCGATTGATAGATAGCTAGAGAGATAGAGACAGACAGAGAAAAGAGGGATCTTTAAATCAGCATCTACTATGCCAAAAACACAAACCTAAACCTTCTTTCTCCAAAAGATTTCGTCAGTGGAATAGAGCTCATCTATTTATGTTGTACAAATTAATGCCTATGGAGATCGGTGAATATATATGTAGGTTAAATTCAATTTGCAGATACATTATCAACCATACCAAGTTTGTTAGATTATCAAGATTATGAAGTGGGAAAACGGACAGACAGCAAGCACTAATATTTTCCAGATGACAATCAGGAAAGTATAATTTTACACAATAATGAGATGCAAGAAGAAACTGAAGCTGGGACAGGGTGTGAAAAGTACAGCAATTGATAGATCAAAAAGAAAGACAACCATCTGAAGTTTCTGATTGATCAAACAGGTAGATAGGTCGATTCTGCCAGTGGCCGGCATTCGTGGTAAAGGTTGAGATTCTTCCCAACACCAACAAACCTCACGCACAAACTCTATCCAGAGTACAGCAATAGCTATTCCAGAAAACAAGAAAATAACAAAAGTATAAGATACAAATTTAGCAGAGGCAAGTATGTGTGAAATCAGTCACATCCTCGGGAGAATACCCCGTATATTGCAATTTCCAAACCAAAGAGCGTGTAAGCAGCATTGTGCAAAGAGTGAGTCAAGTGGAGCTCCTTTGATAGCTCTAGAACTTTTATGCTCATGCGGAGAGGAACCCATTTGAGTTCCATTACCTAAATAAAATTTAAGAAGATTTTAGATTTCTCTACAACAAGGCATTAAATGTCCTAGCTAATGACAACATTTCATAATCCTCAATAATTACCTACAATTATAAAATAAATAAATAAATTATGCCTAAGCTTCCTGTCCTTCAAACTATTCTCAATCCACATATGCAGGATAAATATAAATTTATTAAACACAATGATTTGGAATGTCAAAAAAACAAGGATGCATCATATTTGAGGAACAAATTCAGTTATCCTTCAGATTATTTTTACCATAACACAGATGAATACTGGCATAAGCATGAGATGAGATGATCAAGGACCATCCTTATCTATAAAATTAATTTACTCTGCAAATAAAAGGCAGAAAATGGGATTATGTACCTTCACGAAAAAGATCTTTCAACACACGGTCTAGAACTATTGGGGGAGGTATGACTCCAGGAGGGCTCAGATTTGTGAAATCATACTTGTCTACTGCTAAGTTATGAATGATCACAATCAAACCACTCAGAATATACGTGCAATATTATATAGAAACTTTAAATTGAATTGTAGCAGTATAAACAACTGAAACACAATTAAAAACCATACATACATACATATATATATATTGTTTATAGACCTGACACAAAATCTTCCATGAATTGAGCCAGTAATGAAATCTCTAAGGCCTCAACCAAAAGTCGCAATTGTGATGCAAATCCGATAGTGTTTCCATCAGTACCACTGTTTCCAAGCATGGATTAACAGACATCACTTTATCAATTCTCAGTATAGAAAGTCATTAAAATTACCAGAAATCTAAGAAAATATTAATTATGCAACTGCTTCGATAAAAACTTTAATTTATTAAATAATTCTGGCCAGATATTGTCCCATAAAGCACCATTCTTACTGGAGATTCATGGTGTGCATATGTGGCAAGAATTCAGGTTGAATTGTAAAATGAAAGTTAGTCTAAATTCAAGAGTATTATACAAAAATTGAGCATACAATCTATATATATACATATACATAAGCCCAATAAGCTTTTCCCTACTTTTAACACTGCATACTCATATCAACAATGTGCACAATCCTCTTTGGAAGCTCTACTGAAAGAACTTTAGAGCTAAGTTTACTTGCTCTAGAGTTGAGCATGAGTGAAGACAAAAGCCTACTGGAAGAACTTGTGTTAACCTGTGGGGTCAGTCTACTATTCCGACACGACCAGCTTGTGTGGCTTGTAAGCCGGAGTGTTACAGTTGGTATTAGAACCGACCAATGACAGCCTATAGTTGTTGACCGGACTATTGAGACCTAGCAGTTGACGGATCTTTGGAGTATAACGTGGACGTTGTATTCTTAAGTCGGGAAATATGCGATACCCCGGAGTTGAATAGAGATGAGTCAGGGATAATGTAAAGTTGAATAGAGATGAGTAGGGGATAATGTGAAGTTGAATAGAGATGAGTCGGGGATGATATGATACCCCAGGAGTCGAATAAAGATGAAGTGTTTAAATGGATTGATTAGAATACACAAATCAATAATGGATTGATATGTTTGCTTTAGAGTAATTTCAAGATGGATCGCGTGAGTGATGCGCTAAAAGGACTTGTGGGGCCAGTCTATGATCCCGACACGCACGGCTTGCGTGGCTTGTGAGCCAGTGCGTTATACAGTTCGAGACCAAATAACTTCCCATAGCAACCAAATTTAATAAGATTAGAGTGTCCATCAAAAGAGTCAGCAATAGAATTAACAATTGGCTGGGTTCCATACAATTCTCTTGAGTCTCAGTTAGATTATCTGAGAAGAGATGCCTCATTGAAGCTATTCCAAACCTCGATCTCCTAATAAAAAAAGCCTCCACTAGGGTGTCATTTTCCATTTCCAGATCCTGTTGATCCGGTTTCTAAAATCTTGAACAATCCTAGTTGTAAAATATATTAACAAGTTAGTTTCTATAAATATATCATGCCCTAAAATAAGTAGGATACAGCACTGCTAGAAGCAGATACATGCTGATGTCAGATACGAAGCATCCACAATGCACATGAAGAATCAAGAGTCAAGACATTCCATCACACAAGAGCAGTATTCTTACCGATTATGGCAAAGATTAGGATATAAAAACCACTTATTGGCTTCTAGAGGAGATGCGCTTTCTAACTCAGCCATATCCAGAGAACTTTCAGCTGTTGATTCAGGCCATATAGCAATCAATGTAAATTCTGCATAAGACAAGTAAACAAAAATTAATATGGTAAGCATCCGCACTGTGAATTTTGTATGGTAAAAATGTAGATATACTCCCAAAATAAAATGTCATTCCTAGTTACAGTATTGAGTGAATATATCCAGACAAGACCATGTCCATTAGAACATAATCATAAGATCAATTCATATCTTGTGAAAGTCTGTATGATTAATTACAACTCTTAAGAGAACAACTTTCCATGGTCATTGATGAAACAAAAACATGAAATCAAGTGAGCTTATCTTTCCCAGTGCAATTCCTAACCAGCCCAAGTGGAAAAATGCAGCAAAAATGTAATAAAAATAAGACCATAGTAATGCCATAAGCGAAAGCATATGTAAAAACCTTTGATTGGATCTTCAGCAGTATACCATTCGCTCCAAGGACAGTCATTGTCCCAGAGCATTTTGCCATTGGAGTAATTCTCAAAAGTTTCACCAGATGAAACATCGATATCACTTTCTTGGAGATCATGTTCATCATCTAATCTTGGGGTTATGTAGGTTATCTTCATCTTGAAGTGAACTTTGTAATGATGCATTGATACGTCCATAGCAGCATATCCCTTTAGAAGATGCAATTACAAAATCAGGTTGAAGACAATCATCATCACATAAAATGCTAAAGAAAAATCCATATAAAGTTAAATTAATATTGTAACAGAATTAATGTTAAAACACACCCACCTTAGTGTCTAGTGTATATCTGGAACACAAAAATGCACAAGCAGAAACTACTACCAGAAAAATTCATCAGTATGCTATAACAGAAAATTTTATGAAAATAAAATTTCCATAGAGAATAGTCGTGTAAAATAAGTTTCTAATTAAACTTAATGCCTCGGAAGAAAATAAAGATATTTGACAATCAACAAAAAACTACAAGTCCATAGAGGTGGCATCAATAATGGAAGAGGAAGCACATTTTAAAATCACTAGAAAATGAATAGGAGTATATGACATACAAATTTAGAGACAAACAACTCATACAATCCTGCCAAATGCATAAGCTTTTCGGGGATCTGGCTATGAATCCAGTCAGCTTCAAATCTTCTAGTAAAAATTGTCCCCATATTCTGAATTCCAATATATGCTTGGCGTGAAGAATCATGAACGGGAACAAATGCCGGCCACAAACTGCACAAAACCATCAGAAAAAAATAATAACTGCTGTGGTCTTTTTCACATCTGGTGAAGAGAGGAACAATTATTTACTCATACCCTCCATTGATTGTCATAATCCAAATTAAGGAAAACTACTTGTAGTCCAAGAAAGATGTTAAATTTGGAGACACCATGTAATACAAGAAGTGTTTCGAATTCTCGGAATTTTTTGTTTTGTTTTTGAAAGAAAATGTTATATATATAAGAGTTGAGTTAGATTGGAATCTGAGGGGAAGGAGCTCCTGACAAATACAAACAAAAGGAGACATGTAGAGGAGTTATTCAGAAATATATATTTATATGTATATAATTAGTTTTCTCTGTATTTATTTTTCTCTTTAGGTAACCATATTCCTACCCCCTATATAAATGGAGTCTCTATTCTTGTAAATAGAATATATATATACAATTGTCCTCCATCACATCTCTTTTTCTATTCTCTCTTCATGGTATCAGAGTGCACCAATACGTTTCTTCATTGTTGCTGCTGTTACAATTTGTTTCCATGTTGCTCCTGCCTTCATTGTTGACAATATTTTATGCGCCACTACCACAACCGATCTGTTTTGCACTATTGCTGCCAATCTGATAGGGTTTTATTTTCTGATCTTGATTCATCATGTCAAACTCTAAACCTACATTACGAACCACCATTTCATGGAATGGTTCTAATTATTTGCTATGGCCTCATTCTTTTCTTCAATTTTTGGGATCTAAAAAGAAAAATCCAATCATGCTCTATATGTGTCATCTCCTAATACGAATGCTAAATATGATACATGATGACATGGTGTGCCGATGATTGTTCTATGGTGACTTGACTTCACACTGGTATAGAAGAGTCTGTGAGTAAGAACATCATGCTGCTGGAAAATTTGAAAGCCATGTGAGATGCTTTACATAAGATGAATTTAACGATAAGAATGTCACTTGTATATCGAGTTACTCGAAAAACCTTTTTTCTCATACCTAGGATGGTCGATGATAATACAACCATAGATGATTGTTGTTAGAAATTTTGGGGGGAAATAGTGAGATTATCTTATTGATCGTCAAAATAAAAGACCTATATATAGGCAATACAAAACAGACTCGATAGACTCAAATCTAAGTAATCTAATCTATTAATAAGACCAAATCTAAATATAAATCTACTAAATCTAAACTGAATATCTAAAATATCTCAACATCCTCTCTCAAACTCAACTGGTATAGCAGAAATCAGCTTGAGTTTGATAAAAAATTTGAATACAGATGCAAAAAGATGCAAATAAAAATAACAGTGGCTTGTCTGCCGTTGCCGTTGCCGTTGCCGCCGCCGCTCTACTGTATCAAAGCTAGAAACAATGCTCCCAACCGAATTAGAGTCGAAATAACATAACTCACAACGGAGTCGAAAACGACATTACTCTCTACTTGAGCCGAAAACGATATAACTCTTTACTGGAGCTGAAAACATATGACTCTCTACCGGAGCTGAACTCTCTACTAGAGCAAAAAAGGGCAGGAGTACTCTCCACAAAAAGAGGAAATAACGGGACTCTCATTGCAATCACAAAACATGACTTTGAAGAAACGCAGCAGACGGATCGTAGAATCGCAGACATATGCGCAGACATGACTTTAATCGTAGATAAAATCAGGACTCAAAACAAAATTAAAATCAGAAATAAAAAGACAAAAAACCATAGACAAAATCTCAAAATTGGAAGACCATCGGGTACATCCCAGGTTAAATGTACCCGGAGAAACGTGAATTGATAGGCTATATCTACGGCATGAGAAAAGTAGGCTATATCTACGGCATGAGAAAAGTAGGCTATATATAAGTAATATAAAACAGACTCGATAGACTCAAATCTAAGTAATTCAATCTATTAATAAAACCAAATCGATATAAATCTACTAAATCTAAACTGAATATCTAAAATATCTCAACAATTGTCATTGTGCACATTGTGACCAACCAAATCATGTCCCTGGAAAGTATTGGAAAAGGCTTGGCAAACCTAATTAGGTCAACATCGTTTTTGGTGAGACAAGTTCTGCATCGCTTCCTGTCATGGTTTCAGTTGCATGTATGAATATGGCAATTCTATATATGCTTCTAGCAAACTTGTTAGAGAGCCGAAACAAGTACTCGAGCAAGAACAAGTATTCGAGGACAAAGAAGGGACTAGGCCCCTACTCGTGTATAGGAGACATCAACGGACTTAGGCTTGCTTTCGCAAGCTTGGGTTTCTTAGTCTTTAAATAATTTTTTCATATATCTATATTTGGACTTTTATGGGGTGTCAATTGAACTGGAGTTGGTGAGCTTGGCTAACTCAACCAAATCTTGTATGTACTTATGTTGGATCAAGAAAATTCCTCGAGATTGTCCATGCACCTCTAAAACCAAGAAGTGAGTTGGCCAAGGTCTTTTATGTTAAAAGCAAAACTCAACAGTTGTTTAATACGAGCGACGCCTCGCAAATCAGACCCAGTAACCACTATATTGGCTTTGAGTGTACGAAAAACCGAACAACGTGGAGCAGAATTTACCAAACTCTTGGTGCCTGCTTTAGACCATATAAAACCGCTTTAATTTGCAAACATCATTGGTGAAGAAGTCAACATACCAGATAGGAGTTTCATGTAAACATCTTCTTAGAGTTCCCCATGTAAATAGGCGTTCTTAACATCCATCTTAAACAAAGGCAGAGAAGCAGCCAGAGCTAATATGATTCACCATGTGGTCATTTTAGTTACTGGTGCAAAGGTTTCTTCGTAGTCGATGCCATACTCTTGCTTGTTCACAAGTACCACAAGCCGAGCTTTATAGCGTTCAAGAGAACCATGAGAGCGTAACTTGAAAGTGAATACAAACTTGCTACCAAGCGGTCGCACTGATGGTGGACATTGCACAACATCCTATGTTTGGTTTTCTTCGAGCGCAAGAAGCTCTGCTTCGATAGCTCTTCTCCAACACTTACATTCCATTGCCTGCTTATAAGATAAGGGAATAGGAATAGAGGATAAGGTCTCCGTTAAAGACACATGGATAGGGAAACAATACCGATCAGGAGGACGAGTAACCCGAGAACTACGCTGAGATTGGTAATTTCGGACGTAGTTGCTAGAACAGGATCTGAAGTTGAAGGTTCTGGTGCTGAAAGTGGGACATTCTGATATGGTGTTGGAAGTGAGATTTGGACAGTCTGATCTAATTCTGGTGCCGAAGGTGGGATTTTAGATCAGTGGTGGGTAGATTACGTCTCTGGCACACCAAGAGGAGCTTTGGGGCTGGACTCGTAGGTGCAAGGTCAAGGGAGGCGGAAGGAGTGATGCATCACTGAGAGAGAGAAAAAAACAAAATGGTGAAGAAAGAAAAGATCCATCCTCATGAGTAGTAAAAATTGGTTTATTTTCCACAAATACCACAGTCTGAGAAACCTTAATACAACGTAAATCAAGATCATAACAATCAAAACCTTTTGGTTTACTTAATATCCTAGAAAAGCACATCTAACTAATTAAGCTGCGGATTTTGTAAGTTCATGTTTAGGGAAATGAACATAGCACACACATCCAAACGTACGTAAATGATAATAGTTTGGAAGATGACCAAATAACCGAGTGAAATGAAAAGTATTGGCCAACAAAGTTGAGGGCAACCTATTGATTAGGTACACCGCTGTAGAGAGTGCTTCACACCAGAATTTAGCGGGGACAAACGATTCTAATAAGAAAGTGCGGACGACATCAAGAAGGTGACGTTTTTTCCGTTCATCCACCCCATTTTTTTTTGAGGTGTTGAAGGACAAGATCTTTGAGAAACTATACCATTGACTCACAAAAGTTCTTGACATGGACCAGACATATATTCCCCCCCCCCCCCCCCCCCCCCCCCCCCCGCCCTCATTATCCGATCGGAGTGTTTTGATGTTTGTAGAAAATTGGGTTTGGACATACAAATGAAAAAACTTGAAAATAGTAAACACTTTGTCCTTCAAATGTAGGAAATAAATCCATGTGAATCTGCTAAAGTCATCGATGAAGGTGACAATATTTATAATAGGCATGGAAAGGAAAGGGTGCTATACCCCACACATCACTCTATATCAAATAAAAAGGTTTAACCCCATTTGGTGTATCTATGGAAAAGGGTAGTTTTGCTTTTTCCAAGTCTACAAGAATAGGGTCTCGGTTCATATGCTAGACCTGGTGGCTTCAAATTCAAGTCTCAATTTGATAAGAAATTGATCTCGTTTAGTTGTCTCATGAACAATTTGAACAAAATTGAGACCTTTCAGAAGTAGGCTAGCATAGACAATATCAATGTATTCAGCCCACAAATTCATGAAACATAAGTAAAATTCGAAGAGGGAAAGGCTATCCTAATGAACTTTCCCTATCTCGTGTTCCAGTTGGAATCGACTAGCAATATTATGCTGACTGTAAATCCTCTTAAGATAAGCCCACACATTTCGGCTGCAGTCTTGAAAGGTCGCAAATTCAAGATGATTTTGGGCTCAACGGATGCAAGGATCAAACTCATGATCTGGACATCCTTAACCTCCCTCACGGAAAACCCAGGCTTATCTTTCTCTAGGTCTGGAGCAGAAGTTGTGCCATCAACATGGCCCATAAATCCTTACTCTTGAGGAAAATCTGGAAATTGAATGACATGATTTCAAGGAATTGGACAAGAGAATACAAAAACAAGAAAAGATTGACTTGGAACAAGTATCTAGATCAGAGGTAGCTCTAATACCATGATAAACTTTGAGGGTGATTTCTGAATGATCGGGAAAATTATATGTATTCATCGCCTAATAATTACACTATATGGCCATTATAAGCTGATTTTCAACATCCAATTAAACTAATTACATATATGAATCATCTAACTCTACCCTAATATTGGTAAGTAAATATCTAATTACAGATATGAACCATCTAATTCTACCCTAATCTTGTAAATATCTACAATTATAGCAGGTAAATTAGAATAAAATCCACAAGTGTAAATTACAGCTTGACATTTGTGATTTCTAATTTCATTTTTGTGAGAAGATCAAACTGCTCAACATGATCCTTGAACCAAAGTCATATAGATACAACATATGATCTATAATTGGATGTACCCCTTACCTTCATTAGTAGTGGGTGGTTTAGGTGAGTCAACAATGGAGATAGCAACTGAGAAATTTCGCAATAAAAAGCCCAGTGGATAGATGGCAATGCAGATTGCACACGTCAGGTGGCACAGAAGAGAAGAAGTGAACTGATTGACACACAATGACATAAAAAACAAGCCAGTATGGGGTCCAACTTAAGATGACGCCAGAACAAGCCTGAAATCGGCTGATTGCAGCAACCGTAGATAGCAATGCCCGTGGATGGAGAGCATGCATTTGGCGTTGGCTGGGTGAAAATACAGCCCAAATAGGCGCTGAAGAATAATTAGGATTTCTGCCAAAATTAAGATTTTTGAGGCGACACTACAACAGTGATTGTGACTTAAACCCTAATGCACTTTGATACCATGTAAACGTGTATTCTTTATTCTTGAAACTAATATAAAAAAACAGATAGCGCAAGTATATACACATAACACAAATGGGCTTAAATTAGTCATAAATAATAGGCCTAATCTAACACTAGACTATTCTCTGAAAAGTTGTACTAGTTATTATCCATCCAATTGTGTGAACAGACAAAGTCAATAAGTTCCACAAATATTGAGCTACATAACATTTAAAGGCACATAAAGTTGACCATCTAGTTAGCATCATTAACTAAAAAGTGAGCCTTAATTTGTAATACTAATACCAAACATTACCTAAAAGATATACAAAAATAACGATGAGATAATTATTTCTTCAGAGTAATGTAAATAGTAAGAAGAGACATCAATGAGGAAGTAATGCAATAACAATCAAACCATGAACAGTTGGATAAAGCAATGGCAACCGCACTTAAAAGTTTGGTAGCCTCTGGTGCATCAAGAACCATGCCACTTTTGCTTTCCGGGGCAAGCACCTGAATGTTTTCAAAGAGTAATGAGAAAAATATATGTATATATATATATGTCTAACAAGCATGACCAAGAGTGGATTTGTGTGTCTATGTGTGAGAAAGAGAGAAACCACGAATTCCTTCACTCCAAATGACAGCTGCATACAATTCATTGCTTTGTTCCAGCTATCAACTTCACCTTAGTCAAGGAAAATTGAAACTAAATTACAAATCAAGAAGACTTACACCCCTTTATGAAGTTATTTATTGTAGACCGTTTACAATACCATCATTATTTGTTTCAAAATAGTATTCCATGCAATAGTACTTCATAGCATACTTGAATCCAGATTTAACCTTGTACAAACCCATGTTAAGATCTGTTTGAATAGCACCATTCACCTATGACAAAATAGAATAGAATAGAAGTCTTGAGTTATACATCTAAGTCCCAAAATAACTCAATAGGATTATATAACGAATCAACTAATTTGCATGCAGTATACTGTTTTCCATGCAATCGTGAAAGACAGATGTTAGGTTTCAAATTCAATGTGGTAATGATGGTAAAAGTTCGTAGAAAACTACCAACCTTCTATGTCTAAATGAACTATGTACAAAGAGAAAATCTAATTGTTTGTGTTTTCAAATAATTTATATGATAAACTTTGAGGGTGATTTTTGAATGATCAGGAAAATTATGTCCATTCACCGCCTAATAGATACACAATATATAGCTATTACAAGCTGATTTTCAGCATCTAATTAAACTAATTACATATATGAATCCTCTTATTCTACCCTAATCTTGGTAAGTAAATATCTAATTACAATATGAATCATCTAATTCTACTTTAACCTTGGTAAGTAAATATTTACAATGATAGCAAGTAAATAAGAATAAAATCAACAGCTGTAAATTACAGCTTGACATCCCTCCTCAAATTTATGCGGGTAAATCAAGAAGCATCAATTTGCCAACAAGAAAGTGATGGGGCTGACGTGTAACAGACTTAGTGAGGATATCAGCAATTTGTTGAGTAGTAGAAACATGAGGGAGAGTGATGACAAGGTTGTCGTGGGCCTCACGAATATTGTGGCAATCAACTTCTATGTGCTATGTGCACTTGTGGTAGACTGGATTCGATGCAATTTGGATGGAACTTGTGTTGTGAGCGTGTAAAGGGGTTGGTTGGGTTTGAGGAAAACCAAGTTCCTCAAGAAGACCAAGTAACCAAACAATCTCAGAGCAAGCAGCAGACATGGCACGATATTCGGCCTCCATAGATGACTTTGAAACATAACATTTCCATGAGATAAGGGCATCACTGAGGAACACACAACATCCAGTTGTAGATTTCCTTGTGTCGGAGCATCCAGCCCAATCAGAATCACTGTAGGCGAGAAGTTGGAGCCATGAACTAATGGGAAAAAAAAAAGTCACGATTAGGTGCACCCATGAGGTACCGGATGATGCGCTTTTAACAACTGATAAATGAGGATGCCGAGGAGACTACATGAATTTGCTCATAGTATGGACTGCATAAGCAATATCAGGTCGAGTCTTTTTTTGTATTAGTTAGTTTGTCAGGTCAGTTTCACAGTTCCTGACGCTGACAAAGTGGCCGAAGATAATCGATTTTTCTGTCTTTTTCGATCACCAAGTACAGACCTTGGAAGCTTTCCATTCAAGCTAGAACAGAGGAAATCAAAAGAATCTCAATCGGAAAGTATTCAACTTGAATTCAATCATTCATCCATTTCCTGGGTTTAGGGTTGACCCCGCCCTCCACACTAAGACTCCAGCATCGATGAATTTATCACGAGATAAAGAAAGCCAGAAGAAAAGACTAGAGGTGAATCAGAATTGTGTACTAACCTCTTCATCTAAGTCAGTAATGCAATAAATAAGACTCCAACCAGTTGTCGATACAAGGTCGGATCCTCCAAAAGCTCCCCTTCATCCTTACGATATTTCACATCAACTTCCATTGGATGTCAACTGAACTGGAGTTGGTAAGCTTGGCTAACTCAACCAAATCTTGTATGTACTTGTGTTGGATCAAGAAAATTCCTCGAGGTTGTCCATGTACCTCTAAACCCAAGAAGTAAGTGAGTTGGCCAAGGTCTTTTATGTTAAAAGCAGGACTCAACAGTTGTTTAATGCGAGCGACGCCTTACAAATCAGACCCAGTAACCACTATATCATCCGCATAGACAAGAACAACAACAATACCATTGGACATCTTCTGAAGAAAAAGAGATGAGTCATATTGGCTTTGAGTGTACAAAAAACCGAGCAACGTGAAGCGGAATTTCTAGAACCAAACTGTTGGTGCCTGTTTTAGACCGTATAAAGAACGCTTTAATTTGCAAACATCATTTGGTGAAGAAGTCAACATACCAAATGGGAATTTTCATGTAAACATCTTCTTTGAGCTCCCTATGTAAAAAAAGCGTTCTCAACATCCATCTGAAACAAAGGCCATGTCAGAGAAGCAGCTAGAGCTAATATGGTTCGCACTGTGGTCATTTTAACTACTGGTGCAAAGGTTTATAACGTTCGAGAGAACCATCACAGCGTAACTTGACAATGAATACAAACTTGCTGCCAAGAGGTCACACTGATGGTGGACATTGGACAACATCTCATGTTTGGTTTTCTTCTAGCGCAACAAGTTCTGCTTCGATAGCTCTTCTCCAACACTCATGTTCCATTGTCTGCTTATAAGATAGGGGAATAGGAATAGAGGATAAAGTAGCCATTAAAGACATATGGGTAGGGAAACCATACAGATCAGGAGGATGAGTAACCCGAGAACTACGCCTGAGATCGGTAATTTTGGACGTAGTTGCTATAACAGGATCAGCAGTAGAGGAATCAGCAGCAAAGAGTTCTGAAGTTGGAAGTTCTAGAGCTGAAAGTGGGACATTATGATCTGGTGCTGGAGGTGAGATTTGGACGATCTGATGTGGTTCTGGTGCCGAAGGTGGGATATTTAGATCGGTGGTAATGGGATGTCAAGCTGAGTAATTTTTGCCATTAAGGCGAACAAAAAGGGTATCAAACTTTTCTGAAGACATGATTTCAAGTAAGATAATATGAAAACAATAAAAGATTGACTCGGAACAAATATCTAGATCAGAATTGGCTCTGATACCACGACAAACTTTGAGGGTGATTTCTGAACGATCGGGAAAATTATGTCCATTCACCGCCTAATAGATACACAATATATAGCTATTACAAGTTGATTTTCAACATCTAATTAAACTAATTATATATATGAATCCTCTTATTCTACCCTTATCTTGGTAAGTAAATATCTAATTACAGATATGAATCATCTAATTCTACCTTAATCTTGGTAACTAAATATCTAATTACAGATATGAATCATCTAATTCTACCTTAATCTTGGTAAGTAAATATTTACAATTATAGCAAGTAAATAAGAATAAAATCAACAGTTGTATTTTACAGCTTGATATTATATTCAAAACATCATATCCCATAACATGTAATTATTAATTACTTAGAGATTTTACAATGGGTAACACGAATGTATCAAAAGTAGTGGGAAATTAAGGGTGTGGTTGGATGTAGGTTTTGTTAGATTTCGCATTATCCATCACTTTTTTCTTCTAAAAATATCAAATCAAATACTTATTTTTAATTAAAATATTACATTAAATTTAAAATTTAATTTTTTTTTCATTCAAAACAACTAATTATATCACATCAAACCCTATTTCAATTCAATTTTTTACTATTCTCTCAACTCCCATACGTACATCCAAGCACACCCTAAAGTTTTATGCCTTGAAAGTTTTAGATCCTATGCCTTAGCAAGTACAACATCCACATAAAGATTAGAGCATAAGAAATGTTGTATAGAACTTAGAACGTTGAGTAGATGGCATATCCTTCATGCAGGCTAATGACAATAGTAAAAATGCCTGAAAACCCAAACAAGGTACTAGAATATAAGGTGGAAGTTGTAAAAAAGAAGTAACATTACAGCAGTTAAGGTATCAGATAATAATGAAAGGTAGTTAGTTACTCTACAAGGTTAAATCAGTTGAATTGTTACCAAAAGATTCTTTGGACCATCAGCCTGCCACTGCCGACACACGGCCTCTATTTCAGAAATGAACCTTAAATACAAAATATATTACAAGTGAGTGTCCTCATTTTTCAATTTTACATATATAACCTATAAAATTTAGAGTGAAAGGCTCTCACCTCTCCCATGAAGAGGCAAGAGTAAAATCATCAAAATGCTCAAACTGCAGCATGTAGACAAAGATATCAAGAAAGAACAAAAAGAAAATTAGGCAGTATAAAATTAATTATCTGCAATAACAGAATAAATACATACATATATATATAATAATAATAAAATCTAGGCAGCATACCTCTTCTTCTTCACTAATATTACTTGATACTCTTTTTGGACTACTAACGAGTGCCATATCAATAAATTAATGCAACACTTAACCAGCAAGGCAGCAAGTGAGAACTCTAAAGTTTCCAACTGCCAAAGAGAAAGCAATTATTAAATCCTAAGAGCAGTAACTTTTGTATATTGCTATACAGACATTTTAAATTCGAAAAAAACAAAAAAGAAAAGACTCAAGTATAAGATGCATTCTTTTGTGTTTTTCTCCTCAATTTGTACTATTCAATTTATTATATTCCCCCCAAAACATCACATCGGCGCATCCTATACCAATCTAGCATATAAAACATCACATTCAACAACTATTTACACCTTAAAAACATCAAAACCAAAAACATAAAACAAAAACAAAAATACAAAGTACACACTGTGGATAATACTCATAAGAATAAGTTTTAAATGATTGATCAAAACAACCTTTATAATTTCAACTTATACTTACTTTAAAAGAAGATGAGAAAAAAAAAAGAAAGAAAATTACTTGTAGCACATATATCAAAAATCCATAGTATAAGAATGGTAGTATAATGACACTCCATACAACTAGACTAGTGAAATTTTTCGTGGCATACCATAGTGAGTTACCATAGAAAATGTGTTCTCATTAAATGCTTTCTCATGAATACGCATACTAGACTACTATTCATTCATTCCACCATCAGTGCGAGCACATTCAATCTATAAGTTAACTAGCCACAGTCTCATACATGCTACAGATTAAATAGTTACAATATCAATGTCCACTGCCCAACAACCATTAGCAGATATTGGTTGGTGAGAGGATACTTAAACATTGATAATTTGGGGTTTGTTTAGTTGAGATGTTTGAGGTGAAATAGTGGTTGGATGTGATGTTTTCAATGAAAATGTTGGATCTGATGTTTTGGAGGGAAATGGGATATTGAATGGTAAAATATTGGAAAATAAACCTTAAGTAAACAAATCCTTGGTATCCTTGATTAGTTTATGTCTTTTGTTATTATAATATCAAACAAACATTATAAGCTATTGTTTTAGATGAACTAAGACTATCCAATATTAGGGGATCATAGCTCTATCACTGAGAAAATAAAGCACTCTATTGAAACCATATCTTGAAAGCATGATTTCAACAATATTAAATGATTCCTTCAATTTTTATTCTTGGTTGGTTGACTACCTAAGGGTTTGAAATCACATATAATCTTTCATGTTTGTGGCCTCCTTGTGATGTGAGACGAGATAAGACTCTTTGAAGAACTCAAACTAGAGCTAGTCAATAAAGTAGTAGGTCAAAGAAATATGTATCCCACAAAAATCCCCTTTAACAATGATGTGGATTCAAAGCCACATGCCATATACCTTCAAATTAAGACCGCATAATGCTGCCTACACAGCTCCAGCATTTCTGTAGACTAGCATTGCAGCAGTTCATGCCCTCAAGGGAACACTGTAATGTTGGTACCAATAACTGCATTAGACTAGTTTTTGTACATAAAAAGACCTTTATACAATATTCTCTACCATTATGCGCGAAAATGAGAGGAAGTTGAGGAACAACAGAATCAACAGATGGTTCTATCTATTAAAGTTAGCTTATGAAGTAAGAAAGCAAATAATTATCGGAAACAGATATAAGTGCCCCAAGATACTATCTGCAAGATTGTAGCTAGAAGGACCAACAGATGACACTCTAAGTCTGAAAGCTAGCTTATGAGGTAAGAAAGCATAAAACTATATAAAACCTGCATACATGTCCTTAAATCAATATCAGCATTCAAGTGGAAGAAGTGCTACAGAGGAAACAGCACTGATTGATAGAATCTAGTGAACCTTATGCCAAAAACAATTTAATAAAGAACTAGATTCTTCAATTGCAACAATCCATGTAGACGACTACAAATATTCCTTTTAACCCATTTCAAATAAATAAATAAATTGAGGGTCATGAAGATAATTTAAAAGCGTTCTAATTATTCAAAATTGGGAAGCATATTGGATTTCCCAAATTCAATCAGGAGCCTTTCCGCTTTTTAAAATGCTTCTTTTGCACTCAATCACGGATGAATAAGCACACAAACCAAATCCAAAACTTCAACACAAATTATCCCTGAAAAACTGGTTAATTAACTTGATGTCTATCAAATCACTCATCTCAATGCAATTTCACTACCAATTAAATAATCATTAAATCTCAATTGCCGACTACATTGCAATCCCAGAAAGAACGAATCAGTAACAAGGAGACCAAGTAGAATGCTAGTATATAGATAGCTCGCCGGTAAAGATCGGAAAAAGAATATATATCAGTGTTCCACCAAACTGAACCAAGAATTATAGACAGAAATTAACCTTGATGTCGAGGGAAGATGGAATCGGAGAGTCCGTGGATCTCCCCTACATAATTTCAGGTTGCGATTGTATTTAATGAGTGAATTATTATGGAAAAACTTTTGGCTCCGGCTGTACAATTCTTAATTTTTTTATTTTTTTTATTTTCAAAATAATAAAAATATATACATATATAAAGAAATAGGAAAAAAATATTTTTATCTATTGTAAATTACAATAAACAATTTTGATTCTACTAAAAAAAAATTGATCAATTTTGATTTTATTTAAAACAGAAAAATTTATCTTTACGCTCTTTCCTACACCATCGGGTCATTTATTAAGAAACATATTTTTTCAAATATAAATTTTGAAACAAAATAATATGTTATGCCTTTTTACTTAACTCAAGAAATATTATATAATTTATCTTGTGTTTTATGTAACTATGTTCTAAGCCTATTATGTTCTAGTCCTAACACGTTGCATGTCCGACTACTTCTTTATTGATATATATATATAAATATAAAGAAAAATTGTACAAAATTTATCTGTAATTTTATCAAATTTGGTCAAATTTCTCATATTTTCAAAATTAGGTGAGACTTTATGATATTTTTATAAACTTTGTGTTCAACCGTTTCAATTGTCCTTATTTAACTGTATTTCAGAATCTATTTTCTAACCACTAAAATTACAAATATATTAATTGTTCAGATAATTAGTCTCAAGAAATAATAAATATACTTAGAAATAGTTGTTTACCACTTATTCTATAATTTTTTTAGTGTTCCTCAAACGCTAAAATATAAGGGCATCCACAACGGGAGACGCTTGTTGAGAAGCGCCTCCCACGTCATCATTTATTAAATAAAAAAAAATTAAAACACCAATTAACATAAGGAACGGTACATTGCGAGTGTACCGTTTCTTCTAATTTTTGTGGGCCATGGTCCACTTTTTTATTCAATAAATATTAAAAATAATATTTATAATATATACTTTTTTATTTATATTTATAATAATTTGTTTTATTAAAATATTAGATTTAAATTTTATTATATGAGTTTTATTTAATATTTATTTTTTTATTAAAATAATATTGTTAATAACTATAATTTTTAATATAATATTTTTATATTTTATGTAACTTTTTAATGCATATTTTTGTAAAATATTTAATTAAATATCTATTAATTCAATTATAACATCTCAATTATGTGCATTATTACGATACATCTCAATATGATCAAGTGGAGACAAATGATAACTCGAATTGGTCATACAACAATACGAGACATGCAACTATGGATCAATACCTACGGAACAGAATGCGACTCCGAGCTAGAGAAACACACCACCAGCTCAAAGCGGATTTAGTTGAACACATTTGGGAGAAATTTGGTCAATCGACTAATTAATTTATTTGAAAAATATATTGTAATATTATGTATTTTTTATTAAATTTAAGTTTGAATTTTTAATTAGTATGTGGGTGTGGAATTATTATTTTTATTTATTTTATTTATTTATGCTAAATAATTATTTTATTTTAATTAAATATTATAAGAATAAAATATAATGAAAAAATATAAGTTTATTTTATAAATAGATAAAATATTTAATGAGGTGGAAAAAGTAAAGATTTTAAAGGGTTCTTTGATGTGAATGTAAAATATAGTTGGAGTTCTTCGTGACGTGGCGGAGAGAGAAACTGACGTGGCACAGGAGAGAGAATGGGAAGAAACCCTGGATGGGTTTCTGTGTTGTGGATGGCCTAAGAGAAATTAATATATTTCTAATTCCAAATGTTTAAAAATAGATATTTTGAAACTTATTTGCAGTTTGGATACGTATAGATTAAACATAGTTAAATAAAGAGGGCCGAAGGGTTACGTACAGAGTTTATGAAATATGAAGAGTTTAATACAGTTTCAAAAGTATGGAGATTTGACCTAATTTCGTAAAACCGAAAGTGAATCTTGTATCATTTTACCTAAATATAATTAGAATAATTTTTATAATTATTTTAAAATATAAAAAAATCATCAAATTTTAATATTTTAAAAAATAATTGCAAAATAGCAATAACAATAAAAATATTTATTATATACATTTAAAATTTTTAATAAAGTAATTTTAATTCATAATTCATAATTTAAAAATATAAAATATAAAAATAGTTAAATATATATATATAGCATTTTAACTAGAAAATTTATAGTTATTCGTTCAAATATAAATTATTCATCTTGTTTCAATGTATAATTTTTTAAATATATATATATATATATTTCAAACAATATCAATAATTTATATTTTTAGTTTGTTTGGTTGTGAATTTTAGTAATTTGAAATTGATTTAAAATAAAAGATGTTTGGTCACTCAACTTATTTTTTAATAGCACAATTTTCTGTAAATGTTACAAAAAATGTAATGTCTACATTTTAACATAATAGTATATAATATATATATATATACTCTATTCATTCATAAAACCTCTATAATTCAATACAAAATATTATTTTTTATATTACTGACACGATTTATCGTAGCTAACACAAAAAATACATTCATATAAAAATACAAAGTACCCCCAATTGATTTGAGTATTTATTTAAATAGTATTTTGATTTGATATTTTGTAGAAAAACAGCAATATTGAATCCAACACGGCTGTTTGTAAAACTTAGTCGGTTTTATAAAATATTCAAACACTCTTGTGTGATGAGTCTGTATCACCTATTATGGGACTAAAATTGATATTGATAAAAAAATTCAATGAAATCAAAGTTGATTATTTTGGTTTATAATAGGATGAAAATTAATTTTGTCCAAATAAATATTTGACTTAATATTTTTATAGAATTGTATTATTAATAAATAATATAAAAATATAAAAAATATATGGGTGTATTTGTTTTATTATATTAAATTTGAGATGTTCTTTTCTTTTTATGTTAAGTATACGTAATATAAAAAAATATATATATTTTCTATATTAAAATTATTAATTATTTTGGTGTAAAGTGTATGTATTATATATTATATATTTTTTTAATATTAATCGAAAAATATTTCAAAAAAATTTTGTTGAAGAAACACACATTATATGTAAACAATCATATGAATTTTATTTTAGACTATTCTTTATTTCCTATTTACAATTATATCACATGAAGTTTTATATCATTTCTCTTAATCAAAGCTCAATTCTTCCCAGCTTATCATTTTTAATTTTACTTTTAATAATGCACCACTCTACAAGGGTATCATTTTATAATCTAGAAATTGTATGCGTAACATAATAAATATTCTTACAATTTATAATATATTACACAAATATTATTATTTTATCTTACACAATACTAATATAAGTATTTTTATTTTTTCACTACAAATTAATATAATACTAATATTAAAAAAAATTACGTAAAAAAACAAATGTTATTGTTCTTATGGGACGGACTGAGTCTTATTGTCAATGTGCAACAATTTATGGAGATTATAATTTAATAGCCATTTCATTTAATAACTTAGCATAACAACTGACTTGTGCCTATTTATTCATATTTTTTTTATGGGATTGTACATTTATCTTAAAGAATTTATACCTTAAAGTTCAATACATTTTACTTGTCTAGCAGTGACTTGTACCTTAAATTTGAATGGCTTGTATCTAAGTCCTCAACAAATATGTACTTACACATTCAAGGAGCTTCGAAGTTGCTTACTTTTATATACCTTGTTACTATAAGTATTCTTTATGTTGTAGTAATTAATATTATTACTTCAAGTCTCGAATCTAAGAAAAATAATTCAACAAACCAAAATTTTATCATTTAGAAATTATAGCCAACACGAACCGAACATGAATTGAAAAATTTTATTATTTAGTATGCAAAATTTTTTTGGAATTATGGTGACTTATGAAAATATAAGCATATCGCTTAGTTGACGGTGCGATGAAAAAAATAAATAAAAAATGAGACCTAAGAATTTTGTTTTTTTGAAAGAATATTAATTTTTTTTGTTGCCTCAATTCATGAAAATAGCCATGTTTTTTGGAGAAAGAAAAAAAAAAAAGGGTTCATATATAACTTGCTTCTCTTATAAACATGACTATTTTCGTGAGGTAGCAAAAACAACTAGTATTTTCGTGGTAAACAGAAGTATAATGCCATTTTTTTTCGTCACACTATAGTATAAGCAATGCAAAATAAGAATTTATGACAAAAATATAAGAATAAAACACATATGTCCTAAAAATGGATCAAACAATATATATCATTGAGAACAATTCATATTCACAACAAATAATCAACTACAATCCCTGTATTATAAATTTGTATTTTAACAATTTCACAAAAAACTTTTACAGACAATGGATGAAGGTTTGCGAATTTCCTTGTAACAATTTTTTTTTTAGCTACGTGAACTTTAGGGACGGAATTCCGTTACAAATATACTATTTTTTTTGTAGTGTTCATAGTTCTTTTTTTTTTTTTGATAACGTGGAAACCCGTAAATCCATGATCGAATCTATGGTGACTTATGAAAATATAAGCATATCGCTTAGTTGACGGTTCAATGAAAAAAATAAATAAAAAATGAGACCTAAATTTTTTTTTTTTTCTGAAAAAATATTAATTGTTTTTGTTGCTTCAATTCATGAAAATAGCCATGTTTTTTGGAGAAAGAAAAAAAAAAGGGTTTATAACTTGCTTCTCTTATAAACATGACTATTTTCGTGAGGTAGCAAAAAACAATTAGTATTTTCGTGATAAACAGAAGTATAATGCCATTTTTTTTTTTGTCACACTATAGAATAAGCAATGCAAAATAAGAATTTGTGACTTGAGGCATTGGGGTTTGAACCCATGACCTTGGGGTCACAAGTTCACTCCCCATACCACCAAGTAATCCCTTACAGGACTTTGATAGTATCTTCTTAACAATACACACAATGTTGAGAAGAGATATAAACCTCTAGGTATTGTTCCAACATAGGTTACACTTCTTTCTTTAGTTATTTGGAGGAAGATTTCTCTTTGAATCATGGTCTTTCTTACTTTTAAAATCGTGGAGATATTGACAAAGAGATATATTTTTAATTCTTAATCTTTGAATAT